CAAAGTAGCCTCCTACCCACTGCCCAAGCAGCTGCCTGCCTCCCACCACATTGCTGTGTGGCTCTGCTTCGGAGGTGGGCGGGGTAGAAATTTCTTCTACGCATGCGCACAAGTGTGCAGCTTAGAGAGAACTACGAGCAGAACCCTCCTTGCCTCACAGAGGTGTAGGGAGACCCCAGATAGATGGTCTACCCTTATGCCACTTGGTGCATGGACGGCGGGTAACACAGGCAAGGGAAGGCACAGCCTTCCCAAAACTGTCTACGTGCCCGCCACTGGGGAGGGCTGGAGCTGCAGCATGGCAACCCTGCTCCCTGGCCACCGGGGAGGCTGGGGCCGGAGCTATAGCTCTACAACCCCAGCCCTCCAGGTGGCCAGGAAGGATCAGGCTGGGGCTGGGCGGGGCTTGGATCCAGAGGCGGGGCCTCCAGCAGAAAGGGTGGAGCTGGGGCTCCCCCACCTGGGCTTTCACCTGCCACTCATGACTTGGTGACTGGAGAGGAGTTACCTAATGGTCCCAAGGACAAGCTCGCATGCTTTCTCGAGCACAGCGCCCTCCTGACTCTCAAGCCCAGCCGATTTCAGTGGGAACAAGGAGCGAGCTGGGAGTGAGCGTGTTACGTTGGCAAGTCACACTCTGTGGAGCTGGGCGCGGCGGCCTTTGTTACTCCACATTGCTCCATCTGTGCTTCCCCCAGAAGCAAAGCGCCCTGCCCCTGAACAATGCATGCCCTGAAAGTGCCGATGTTTCCCTTTCCGAGGCACGAGTGGGGAGCGAGGCAGAGATGAACGTGGGCGCTTGTCTCTGCAGCTCTGGGGAATGCGAGATGCAGCATGGCAGCAGGGTTGATTTCCTGTGTGCTGTGTAAACTCACTCTCCTGCCTCTTTTCTTCTGTGGATCTTGATGAGTTTCCCCTTCCGCATGCCGTGTGGCAGGAGTTCTTACTGTCTGTGCCCTGCCCCACTCCTTCAGGCACCACGGATACTGAAATTGCTCTGGGAGGCAGTGCATATCTTTTCCCATGGGAACTTGGCCTGTGTCTACACTGGGAAGGGTTGGCCACAAAGTGCTGTTGACATGCAAAACTGCCAAAAGCAAAAACCGGTCAAACCAGTTTGTCTGCTTCCCATTGTTGACATTTCATGGCCACATTGCTGGGACCTTGTTGACAGACAGAGCAAAGCACTGTGGGTGAGTGTCCCACAGGGCAGTGTTGTGGGAAGGCAGAGCTGATCCCTGAGCTTCTTGGGATTCCCTCATAGCTCTGTGAGCTCTCCATGCTGAGGAATGTCAAAGCAGCACAGCTGTCTCTCCAGCCATCCCCCTACAGCAGCAGCTATCTGCCACTGTGTTCTTAACAGGGCAGAACAGAAGCACTCCAATGATTTGCTCTTTGTTTGTTTCCCAAATGGAGCAGCTCACTCAACTGTCAAATACATCTTGGAGCTTTGAAAAGGGAGGGGCACAAGTGTGCAGTGCAGCAGAGATCACAAAACACTGAGCAGAGCCACCAGGGCAGGCACTGTGAGATACTGGAGGAAGTCAGTATTTCCCACAAAACAAACAGCAGAGTCCACACTGGCTCTTTGTCAACAATAAAGGGAGGGGAAAAGACAAAAGTCTTGTTCAGGGGTGGAAGGTTTTTGTCGCCAAAACTGGGGATTTTTCCCACAAAAGTTGCATTATGGTGTAAACACTCTCACTCTTTTGTTGCCAAAAGGCAGTTTTTGGTGACAAAACATGCCAGTGTAAACAAGGCCTCAGTCAGCAGAGGACACCACTGGTCAGATGACCACCACCTGTCTCCCTCACCCATATCAGCTTGCTCCGTTTACTGGAATGGGGCGATGGCCGAATAAGGATTTTTTCAGTCCCTTCTTCCTTTATTATGTAATCTCAACTTTTTACAATACTTCATCGCCTCTCCTGACCAGAGAGAACAGTACATTCTCCTAAGGCAGATAAGAACAAAGAAATACCATTGACTGCTTCCTCTCCGTTCGTGCTGAATGCTGCTCAGGAAGGAAAACATCTCTACACTTAGCAAGCTGTGGTGATGCTGTGGTCGAAAACAACCAGCTCCAGATGGAACAAAGATATCAGGGGTGGCTTGTGAAAGGCGGGGGAAAGTACTTGTAAAATGAACGCAGCCCAGGTGCAAAGACTAGCCATGAGTTCTACCCACACAGAGGAGAGAGGACTGCGTGTGGGCAGATAATAAACAAGGACCGACCTGACTCTCCTCTTGCATTCGTGTTACCCTGACTTCATCTGGATTGATTCTGGTTTGTGCCCATGTAAATGAGAGAAGGCCGGCCCCTCTTCCCCGTGGAGCTACTCTGGTGGGCTTCACGCAAGCTTCAGCACCCTCCAGTCTAATCCTGCCCCTGGTGTTGTCGTTTACACCACTGCAAAATGAAGGCAAAGCGGGCGGCGTGCACGGCAGAACGGCGCCTGTTTCCCACTCAGTTTGCAGGGGTGTGGATGGCGACCCAAAGGGCAGGGCTGTGGGGAGGCAGGTCTAAATCCACAAAAATATTTAGGTAGTCAGGAGACTAAACAGTTCTTTGTGGATCTGGGCCTGAGTTCTTGTCACAGGGGGTGCTGGCTCTTTAAGGGGGCTGGGGCTCAGCTGCACCTGGGTCAGGCTTAGCCCACCTCGCCAGGTGAAAGGAACATGTCCTGGGGTCGTGTGATGGTAGCATGTGATTCAGCCGCAGGCCTACTGAGCACAGACAGGAGAGACTCTTGCTTTTGGGGCCTGGGCAGACTTGCAGGAGATCAATGGGGAGCAAGGAAGAGGAGCGCGAGGCCAGTGTTTCTCAACCAGTGGTACGAGTACCCTTAGGAGTACTCGAGAGGAGTCGGGGGAGGGGTACGTCAACACAACTGAAATTTGGAGAAAACTGAATTTTTGTTGTACGTTTTACCGTGCTTTATTATTTTTGTACTTTTTACACCCCAAAATTTCATCGTCTGCCTGGCTATGATTAAGCTGTTTAAACAAACGTGCTGCAATAGTAGAAAAAAATTGTGTGCATCTGAAAACTGTAGGTACTGGGGGTACTTATACTTTTTTAAGGGGTACTTTATATAAAAAAAAAAAAAAGGTTGATCTGGGCCACCCAGAAGGAAATGCCTGGCCGGAGCGATCACCGCATGGGGCGGGGACAAAACTTCTAAGTGGGAATGAGATGTCACAGGGTGGGGGGAGGGGAGGGAGGGATGCAATAGACCAGTGAGCCTAGTTTTGAGTTCAGCCGTTGTTTTATTCGATGACTGAGAAAGGGAGCATAATTCAAATGCCCCAGCGGTGGGGGTTTGACTGAAAAGTGGGGAAAGTGAGGCAATGGAAGGACCCGCCCATTGGTGAGGTGGGTGGCAGACCCCATCACCGGCCTCCTTAGACACGCACCCACTTCCCACGCCTGCCTTTCAGTGTCCACTCTTGGGTGCTAGGCATCCGGGCTTCTGATGTCAGCGACTTCAGCTGAGGCTCGGGCCCTGGAGATAGGGAAAACTGAAGATCAGCTTTGAAAAGTCTTGACCCGAATGACGGAGCAAGAAGAAAACTAGCCATAGGCACATAAAGCCACGTGGCTCAATGGGATCCTCCCCTCCCCCCTCCCCCACTCTCCCAGCCCGCTTGCTGTCACTCAGTGCAAACGTGCTCCGTGGGCAGCCACTGCTTATCAGGGCCAGGTTCTGCTCTCCATCACACCAGCTGAAATCCTGGGGACAGGGGGTGGCACTGGCGTCACTAGCAACCAGCCGTCAGAAAGTGACTCTGGATTTACATGGGGGCCGTCAAGCTCAGAATCTGTTCCTAGATGGAGTTCACATTGAGTGTCAATAGAGAAAGATATCCTTACGCTGAACGGGCAGCTGGAGAGGGGGCCCTACAGGGTGGTAACTCTATGGTTCCTCTGCAGCGCGGTGGGGCGTGAGGAAGCTATGGAGATATGCCCTTCCTGTGTGCTACAGAGCATCCCTGTGCCCCAGCTGGCAAGAGGATTGGGACAGCCCACGCCAAGTCAACATGATGTCACAGTGACATCAGCAGAGATGTGGCTGCTCATCAGTGAAACTCGCTTGATCTTTCCCCCTAGATAAACTGCGTCTCCACCGTGTCGTTCGCCAGCGGCCGTTGATACACCATGGCCTTTCCCGGGACTGCAGCCAACAACGTGACCCTGCTCCTCCCCCCGTACAATGCTGATGACACTCAGAAGAAATTCCCAAGAAAGAACGAGGCCCTCGGGGTAAATCTGATGCTTTCTCAAACCTGCATGCCTGGGAGGTGGGGGCCACCCCCTTCACAGTGGAGGAACATCTGGTGCTCCCTGAGAGGCCACCAAACCTCATGCGCACCACCACCCCATGGGCCAAATGAGGACCAACGTTGTTGGGACCATATCCTAGTAAGAGGGTGGGCACAAAATGGCCTTGAGGAGAGAGGGAACTGGGGTTGGGCTTCACAGGCTAATGCTAGGCACCCACACATGGCGTGGGGAAGAGACCATTCAAACGAGACAAGTACACTGCATAAGGTGGTGGTGGATTTCATGGTGAGGCTTCCAAAAGCCTCTAGGACAATTCATTCTGCCACACTTGCAGTCTCGCGGAGAGCGTGGGAAAGTCCCATGGATTAGCATGCAATGCTTGGGGCACTTTCTGAGGTGGGTATGTGCTTCTCGTTCGGAGAACGTTACTGACCGCACTGGCCTTGTTCTCCTCCTGCAGGCCATACAGATCATCGTCGCCCTAATACACCTGGGCCTGGGGGGCATCATGTTCTTCGCCTCAAAAGAGTCTGTCCCCCTGTGCATGGCTTCCTGGTACCCGTTCTGGGGAGCAGGACTGGTAAGTGGACTACATGGAATGATTATTGCAGAAACACAGGGGTGGCTCGCTGGAGGTGAGATTTTGCTCGGGGGCCAGATCAGCACACGAAGCCTCCTCCCCCCACCCAGCACCCAGAGCAGAGAACCACAGGGAGGAGTCAGCCATTTAATTTGCTGTGAGGCTGCTCTGAAGGAGCTGGCTGCTGTGAGTCTGCGGGTCCCAGCGGCCAGAGCAGGTGGCCCGTGGCCCAGCTCCAGTGGCTTGGCAGGCTGGATCCAACCTACAGGCCAGGGTACTCTAATAGGGCTAGTTTGTCACAGGACGGGTATAGTCAATGAGATGGACAGATGAGATGCTGTGAATGGGGGAGAGGGTTGGTGGGTGTGGATGGATGGAATGTTCAGACGTATGAATGGACTGGGGAGAGAGCTCTTTATCTCAAATTGTAAAGTGTCCCTGGATTTCATTAACAAGCATGTTCTCTTCTCTTCACTACTCTAATAGGGCTAGTTTGTCACAGGACGGGTATAGTCAATGAGATGGACAGATGAGATGCTGTGAATGGGGGAGAGGGTTGGTGGGTGTGGATGGATGGAATGTTCAGACGTATGAATGGACTGGGGAGAGAGCTCTTTATCTCAAATTGTAAAGTGTCCCTGGATTTCATTAACAAGCATGTTCTCTTCTCTTCACAGTTCATCATCTCTGGGTCCCTCTCAGCTGCAGCTGCAACTGCAACAAATATCACGGAAGGTCTGGTGAGTTATGAAGTTTCCTGTTATTGAGAGATACTTGGAGTTAAACACTAAGGGCAGAAATCAGAGCTCTTGTCTGTCAAGGACACCCTCTGGGATATGGTATCCCATGGGAAGGAGCAAGTGATGGTGAAGCTCAGGACTGAATGAATTCCTCTCAGGATTGAATGAATATGGACTGCTGCAGGAGTACATGGGGGTTTCAACATGAGTCCATATAAAATATGCATTACATGTAGCATCTGTTAGCAGTCAAAAGCTGGAAGATGCCACAGTTAAGGTTGCCCACACAACCTTAACAGTGCCCCTTGGTGTATCTGCTTTATTACAGTCGTTTGTTTTCTGTGCATGACCCAGTCTGATTTCAGAGCATGGGTTGGATGGAACTCAGTGAATGAGCAGCTCCACCAACTTTTCCATGAGGGGACCTCCTGCTGCATTCACTAAATACCATCTAAACTGCCTGGTGAATACAGCAGGGTGTGACAGGATATATCATCCCTCAGAGACCTGGGATGATCAGATGTGTGGCTGAATGAGAGTCATTGGACTCAGGGCTGGGAAGACAAGGATTAATGGCCAGAGATCAGTGTGCTGGAGTTCATTAGCCTCCTACATGCCCAGCCAACAGCAGTTATATAAAGGCAGCTGCTGGTCTGAGGACGATGATACATCTGGCCCTGGTGCAAGACGTTCTGTTTGTTTCCATTTGGGACTTGGAAGGAAGTCAGTGAACTGAGATGAAGGCTGTTTCCTCCTGAAGCTGAGCAGGCTGTGTTTTGCTTTGGATCTTCATCCCAAACCAGAAGTGAAGACTTGGCCAGCCAGGTGAAAACCAGGACTTGTAACCACTAGGCCAAATGAACCTAAACTTTGGTCTAAGTCTGTGGAAAAGCTTCTGGACTGATATTTTAAATACACCTCCTCCCTCAAAAACCCCCTCTCAGCTTAGGAACAAGGAAGATAACACTGGAAGGAACCTCCTGGGTAATCAAGTCCAGGCTTCTGACACTGTAGGAAGTGTCATTCCCATCACAGAATCCGACACACAAATATACCAGGCACCATCTTAAAACTAATTGAGTTTTTAGACCCC